CGGTCGGCACGCTACCTCTACATCTACCATCGGGATTAGTATTAGACATAAATAATTGTTATTTGGTGCCAGCGTTGAGCATGAACATTATATCTGGATCTTGTTTGATGCGAGACGGATATTCATTTAAATCAGAGAATAATGGTTGTTCTATTTATATGAGTAATATCTTTTATGGTCATGCACCCTTGAAGAGTGGTCTATTTTTGATGAATCTCGATAGTAGTGATACACATATTCATAATGTTGAAGCCAAAAGATGTAGAGTTGATAATGATAGTGCAACTTATTTGTGGCACTGCCGTTTAGGTCATATCGGTGTAAAGCGCATGAAGAAACTCCATACTGATGGACTTTTGGAACCACTTGATTATGAATCACTTGGTACTTGCGAACCGTGCCTCACGGGCAAGATGACTAAAACGCCGTTCTCCGATACTATGGAGAGAGCAACAGATTTGTTGGAAATCATACATACAGATGTATGTGGTCCCATGAATGTTGAAGCTCGTGGCGGATATCATTATTTTCTCACCTTCACAGATGATTTAAGCATATATGGGTATATCTACTTAATGAAACATAAGTCTGAAACATTTGAAAAGTTCAAAGAATTTCAGAGTGAAGTTGAAAATCATCGTAAAAAGAAAATAAAGTTTCTACGTTCTGATCGTGGAGGAGAATATTTGAGTTACGAGTTTGGTTTACATTTGAAACAATGTGGAATAGTTTCGCAACTCATGCCACCCGGAACACCACATCGTAATGGTGTGTCCGAATGTCGTAATCGTACTTTACTTGATATGGTGCGATCTATGATGTCTCTTACAGATTTACCACTATCGTTTTGGGGTTATGCTTTAGAGACGGCCGCATTCACGTTAAATAGGGCACCATCAAAATCCGTTGAGACGACGCCTTATGAACTATGGTTTGGCAAGAAACCAAAGTTGTCGTTTTTGAAAGTTTGGGGTTGCTATGCTTATGTGAAAAAGCTTCAACCTGATAAGCGCGAGCCCAAATTGGAGAAATGTGTCTTCATAGGATACCCGAAGGAGACTGTTGGGTACACCTTCTATCACAGATACGAAGGCAAGACATTTGTTGCTAAGAATGGATCCTTTGTAGAGAAGGAGTTTCTCCCAAAAGAAGTGAGTGGGACGAAAGTAGAACTTGATGAGGTAACTGTACCTGCTCCCTTATTGGAAAGTAGTACATCACGAAAACCGGTTTCTGTGACACCTACACCAATTAGTGAGGAAGCTAATGATGATGATCATGAAACTTCAGAACAAGTTACTACTGAACCTCGTAGATCAACCAGAGTAAGATCCGCACCAGAGTGGTACGGTAATCCTGTTCTGGAAGTTATGCTACTAGATCATGATGAACCTACGAACTATGAAGAAGCGATGGTGAGCCCAGATTCCGCAAAATGGCTTGAAGCCATGAAATCTGAGATGGGATCCATGTATGAGAACAAAGTATGGACTTTGGTTGACTTGCCCAATGATCGGCAAGCAATTGAGAATAAATGGATCTCCAAGAAGAAGAATGACGCTGACGGTAATGTTACTGTCTACAAAGCTTGACTTGTCGCAAAAGGTTTTCGACAAGTTCAAGGGATTGACTACGATGAGACCTTCTCACCCGTGGCGATGCTTAAGTTTGTCCGAATCATGTTAAAAATTGCCGCATTTTATGATTATGAAATTTGGCAGATGGATGTCAAAACTGCATTCCTGAATGGATTTCTGGAAGAAGAGTTGTATATGATGCAGCCGGAAGGTTTTGTCAATCCAAAGGGAGCTAACAAAGTGTGCAAGCTCTAGCGATCCATTTATGGACTGGTCCAAGCATCTCGGAGTTGGAATAAACGCTTTGATAGTGTGATCAAAGCATTTGGTTTTATACAGACTTTTGGAGAAGCCTGTATTTACAAGAAAGTGAGTGGGAGCTCTGTAGCATTTCTGATATTATATGTGGATGACATATTGCTAATCGGAAATGATATAGAATTTCTGGATAGCATAAAGGGATACTTGAATAAGAGTTTTTCAATGAAAGACCTCGATGAAGCTGCTTACATATTGGGCATTAAGATCTATAGAGATAGATCAAGACGCTTAATTGGACTTTCACAAAGCACATACCTTGACAAAGTTTTGAAGAAGTTCAAAATGGATCAAGCAAAGAAAGGATTCTTGCGTGTGTTACAAGGTGTGAAGTTGAGTAAGACTCAATGCCCGACCACTGCAAAATATAGAGAGAAAATGAAAGATGTTCCCTATGCTTCAGCCATAGGCTCTATCATGTATGCAATGCTGTGTACCAGACCTGATGTGTGCCATGCTATAAGTCTTGCAGGGAGGTACCAAAGTAATCCAGGAGTGGATCACTAGACAGCGGTCAAGAACATCCTGAAATACCTGAAAAGGACTAAGGATATGTTTCTCGTATATGGAAGTGACAAAGAGCTCATTGTAAATGGTTACGTTGATGCAAGCTTTGACACTGATCCGGACGATTCTAAATTGCAAACCGGATACATATTTACATTAAACGGTGGAGCTGTCAGTTGGTGCAGTTCTAAACAAAGCGTCGTGGCGGGATCTACATGTGAAGCAGAGTACATAGCTGCTTCGGAAGCAGCAAACGAAGGAGTCTGGATGAAGGAGTTCATATCTGATCTAGGTGTCATACCTAGTGCATCGGGTCCAATGAAAATCTTTTGTGACAATACTAGTGCAATTGCCTTGGCAAAGGAATCCAGATTTCACAAGAGAACCAAGCACGTCAAGAGACGCTTCAATTCCATCCAGGATCTAGTCCAGGTGGGAGACATAGAGATTTGCAAGATGCATACGGATCTGAATGTAGCAGACTCATTGACTAAGCCTCTTCCACGAGCAAAACATGGTCAACACCAAGGCTCTATGGGTGTTAGATTCATTACTGTGTAGTCTAGATTATTGACTCTAGTGCAAGTGGGAGACTGAAGAAAATATGCCCTAGAGGCAATAATAAAGTTATTATTTATTTCCTTATATCATGATAAATGTTTATTGTTCATGCTAGAATTGTATTAACCGGAAACGTAATACTTGTGAGAATACATAGACAAACAAAGTGTCACTAGTATGCCTCTACTTGACTAGCTCGTTAATCGAAGATGGTTATGTTTCCTAACCATAGACATGAGTTGTAATTTGATTAACGGGATCACATCATTAGGAGAATGATGTGATTGACATGACCCATTCCATTAGCTTAGCACCCAATCGTTTAGTATGTTGCTATTGCTTTCTTCATGACTTATACATGTTCCTGTGACCAAGGTTGTCAGAATCGCGATTCTGTTATACGATTGTACGACTTTACGATCCAAACTAACCCCTATGATTCTACGATTTTTAGTTCATAGAATCTACGTTTCTGCGATCCTGATAGTGAAGATTCTACGATTTGCGATCTTACCATCGGAGCTCCGATCCGATTCAAAATCGCGATTCTGACAACCTTGCCTGTGACTATGAGATTATGCAACTCCCGTTTACCGGAGGAACACCTTGTGTGCTACCAAACGTCACAACGTAACTGGGTGATTATAAAGGTGCTCTACAGGTGTCTCCAAAGGTACATGTTGGGTTGGCGTATTTCGAGATTAGGATTTGTCACTCCGATTGTCGGAGAGGTATCTCTGGGCCCTCTCGGTAACGCACATCACTTAAGCCTTGCAAGCAATGCAACTAATAAGTTAGTTGCAAGATGATGTATTACAGAACGAGTAAAGAGACTTGCCGGTAACGAGATTGAACTAGGTATTGAGATACCGACGATCGAATCTCGGGCAAGTAACATACCGATGACAAAGGGAACAAACGTATGTTGTTATGCGGTCCGACCGATAAAGATCTTCGTTGAATATGTAGGAGCCAATATGAGCATCCAGGTTCCGCTATTGGTTATTGACCGGAGACGTGTCTCGGTCATGTCTACATTGTTCTCGAACCCATAGGGTCCGCACGCTTAACGTTGCATGACAGTTTCATTATGAGTTTATATATTTTGATGTAGCGAAGGTTGTTCGGAGTCCCGGATGTGATCACGGACTTGACGAGGAGTCTCAAAATGGTCAAGACATAAAGATCGATATATTGGACGACTATATTTGGACACCGGAAAGGTTCCGGGTGAGATTAGGACAATACCGGATCACCGGGAGGTTATCGGAACCCCCCGGGAGGTATATGGGCCTTATTGGGCCTTAGTGGAAAGGAGGGGAAAGGAGCAAGGGAGAGGGCGCCCCCCCAAGCCCAATCCGAATTGGGAGGGGGGCCGGCCCCCCCTTTCCTTCATCCCTCCTTCCTCTTCCTTCCCTCTCCCACTCCTAATAGGAAAAAGGGGAATCCTACTCCCGGTGGGAGTTGGACTCCCCCCTAGGGCGCGCCACCCTCCTTGGCCGGCCCCCTCCTCCACTCCTTTATATACGGGGGCAGAGGGCACCCCATGGACACAACAGTTGATCATTGATCTCTTAGCCGTGTGCGGTGCCCCCCTCCACCATAGTCCTCGATAATATTGTACGGTAAAACATCAAGATCGTCACCACGCCGTCGTGCTGACGGAACTCATCCCCGACACTTTGCTGGATCGGAGTCTGGGGATCGTCATCAAGTTGAACGTGTGCTAGAACTCGGAGGTGTCGTAGTTTCGGTGCTTGATCGGTCGGGCCGTGAAGACGTACGACTACATCAACCGCGTTGTGCTAACGCTTCCTCTTCCGGTCTATGAGGGTACGTAGACAACACTCTCCCCTCTCATTGATATGCATCACCATGATCTTGTGTGTGCGTAGGAATTTTTTTGAAATTACTACGTTCCCCAACAGACGATAGCTCCAGCACAAAGCTCAGATCCTTGACCTTTGATGGGATGCCTATTAGTAGCTTTCACAAGCATCCTATTTACTAATAAGGAATAAATGACTCTCTATATTGTTAATTTTGACACCCATAGATCTTTTGTGAGTGAATCAGGTCTATCCAATGCACCCACTTATCATTAAACCCTCTAATCTTAAGCAAGTTGTGGAGGAAGTCCAGGTCTACTCTGTCAAGTGCTTTCTCATAGTCAAGTTTCAAAACTACCCCTTTGTTGTTAGACCTAGCTATGGAGTAGATAACTTCATAGGTTGTTACCACACTCTCCAGGATATATCTGCCTTTAATAAAGTCAGATTGGTTCTTGGAGACCAACCTATCCATAGTCAGGGATAATGATGCTATCTTTAACATAGAGTAAATGTTGATATGAAGAAGGGATAATCTAGGCTTGCCTTCTCTGAATTAAGAGTTGATCTTTAGCACAATTTCTCTCACCATATATTTAGTCATATATAATTAATTATAGGAGATAAGACAAGTAATTAAGAACCCCGCAAAAAGAAGACTAGTAAGACATAACTCATTTTACATGTATTTTTATTGTCATCACTAAGTATCAAGATTGGATTAAGACAAAGGCGTATCAACCACCACCTCACATGTCACCACCAAAAACCGCCAGCTCACCATGTAAAACCAATTCCATAGTAAATCATTCATAGGTGTAGCATCTCTCTTAGGCACGCAAGTCTAGCAGTTGCGGTTGCACGTGGACATGATGGGCGGCATGGCAAACGGGCCGTCAAGCATCCCGTGGGCCATGATCTTGTATGCTGCCTCCGTCAAGTGTACACCATCCCATGACACGTACCTCGACGGGTCCGGGCACCGCACCACCTCCCTCCCAGGAACGAAGACCGGGTAGCACGCATCCAGCACCGTCTCCGCAGTGAACCCATTCTCCACCGGCTTCGTGACGAGGCTGAGAATCTCCTCATAGTAGTCGACGTAAGTGATGGAAACGCCCGGATGGTTGCTGCGGAGCTCGTTGAGCTGGGATTTCAACATGTGGTTGTGGACGAGGGTGAGGTCATTGAGCCACCGGAGGCAGCCTGTGGCGGGGTCGCGATCGTCGCCGGGGAAGATGCCGAGGAACAGCGGGGTGCACCCCATGGGGAAGATGCCTGGCACGTACATGGTCTTGGCACCCAGCTCGATTAGAGCCTCGATGGACAGAGCAATGGACCTGATGATCCGGGGTACGAGGGGCCTGACCCATTCAAGCGTCTTGTTCTGGAACAAGGGTTGGATGTAGTCGTTGGCGCCAATCTCCCCCACCAGGAACAGCGAGCTCGCCATTGCCGCCTTCCTCTCTGCATGGCCGTAATATGCATGGTCAGTGCGTTGCGCAGCCATGGCGCCATGCATGCATTAATTTTTGTCCTACACATCACCTTGGTCCGTGGAGCCGAGCACGGCGAGAACTTTCTTGAACAACCCGATCTGGACGCCAAGGGAGTAGGGGGGCATCAGGTCAACACGGAGGTGCTTCTTCCTGAAGAAATCCTGGCTCAACGCCGTGGCCGAGGCCACAGCGAAATTCACGCCGTACCGGAACTCCTCTGCCAGCGACTTCCCGGCCGTCGCCTGCAGATACGCTGGCCAGTACGGGAAACCCAGCCTCTCCACTGCAGGTACGCCGTATCATGCATCATGCATATATTCATAGTAAGTACTAAGACGGGCAGTGATTAAGCACGCCTGGTGTACACATCATCGTCGTCGTCGCCAAAACACACTTACCGATGAAGTCCACGATGAGGCGGCCGTCGGACCAGCGGCCGGTGGGCCGGCCGAAGAAGGTCTGGCCGTATGGCAACTCCACGACTGGACCCGGTGCCGCGGAGAAGTGCACGATGTAGTTGCCTGTGTCGATCAGAGAGTCACCGAAGCTGAATAGATGCTTGTAGCAGCTACTCTGGTTCGCCGGCGCAGGCGCAGGCGACGCCGCGATGGCCACGGACAGGACAAGAAGAACGGCCGCCACGGCGAGTTTCTGAGGCAGAGACGACGCCCATGAAATCATGGTGGATGGATGGAAAGTAACTGTTTCGACCTCACTAAGTTCGCCCGGGCTTGTAGCTAGCTTTTATGATGACGAGGCATTTCCGCAAAAAAAAGCTTTTATGACGAGGCAGATCTTGGCTGACTGGATATATATCTCGCGCCTCTAACATATTCAAATCGGGCAGGCCGGATAAGCTTAGGCGACGTGTGTACGTGCGTCGTCGATGACGCAAAATGGAACTCGTCGCAATGGTCCAACGAGATTTTAATCCGAGGAATTTGATCGATCGATGATGGCGCGATTGACTTATGCCTAGGGGAGGGGAGAGTATACCGGGTTTTACGTGTCAAACAAACCAAACAGCACGTCACGGATGTATTGTAGATAAGTCAGCCAAAACATTCTTTATAGCTTCATATATAATGGAAAGGGTCTGTCTAGGACACATCTAGATGTGACATAATTATGTCACATCTAAATTGATGTCCACTCTGCTTGTGGTCTATTTTTTTGTCTTAGTTTTTTTGTTTCTTGTTGCTGCATTATATACTTGTGGGAGCTTAGATGTGACATCCTTAAAAAATATCTCGATGTGAATTAGACAAACTGTAATGTGGAAACGTTTTCACCGAGCGCGCCGGACGCACGGGCCACGCGATCCTACTGGATCGATTGACCAGGAAGACTACGCACTCCTACATTTTTCTGACCCACATATTGTACGACGCATTTTTCTCTTATCTTTTCTCTGTAGCTCCATCCCTCACTCTTCCTCCCTCTTTTCTTTCCCAGCTAGAGCACAGCTCCATGGCTACCCCAAGTGCTACTATGAGGAGCGTTCTCCAGCTTGGCCCTCCCCTCCTCTCTGTCTACCTGTACCTCTGAAATTGCTACAGCCCCAGGTGCTGCTACACCCTCCCCCCATGTGCTGCCATGAGGAGCGTTCTCCGGCTAATTTTAAAAAATAATATATGTCTTTAATTAATTTTCAGAATATTACGCCAATTTTTTTTAAAAAAAATACATAGTCGGCCATCTCTAGTCGGCCAAGAGTAGGCCAATTAGTACCCTGTCGGCTAACGGCAGGCCGATTGGGCTCCTGCCCACTCCTGTCGTCTAACTATTGACCGACTGGAATTAATTGGCTTATAATAGGTCGATTATTTTTAATTGGCTTACCGTAGGACGATTAGTTCTAATTGGCTTCGTGTAACATGAGAAGTTCTTTCCGTATCGAAAAAACATCGAATTAGTTACACGTTGAAGTAAAGAAACACAAGTCATGATTAGTTACGATGAAATATTTGTCGTCATTGCGTACCGTACAAACATCGAAGGTCTCTTCCAGCTTGACGGTGAAGAACCTACCATTTTGCAGGTCAGGCTCCATATCGCACATACTACGGTCATCGCAGCCGTATTCGCACTCGGGGATCCTATCATCGCTAGATATTTTCCGTGTTTCAAAATTCAAAGATTACAAATCTATGGCAATACCTATAGATACCATGGTGGGTATTCCCTCTCTGATATATTCGACCATGGTAGCTCCTCCTATCATTCGAAAGTGCATTCACCAAAATATCTAGCACCTTCGAATGAAGAAGAAATGACCCCCACGACAGGAGTCGGGATTCTTCCTCTCTCATATACGGTGGACACTCCCTCACCGTTTTTCGACCGTCGATGATGGTCGCTCTTATTTTCCTTCATGTGCATTACCAAAATGTCTATCACGAGAACGGAGAGGAAGAGGGACCCCCCACGACAACAGTCGGTATTCTTCTTCTCTCATATATGGACACTCTCCCTCACTGGTTTTTTGACCGCCATGTATGGAGCCCTGCAATGTCGATTTATTCTCTTTCCGGCAAATCTAGGGCACTCAATATCTCCTACGTTCTAGCACAAGTCATGTAAAAATTCACGAGAAATTTCAGCATGACCATTGCTAAAAACAGGACATATTGAGCGCCTGAAATTGCCAGAATGGAAATGAATCAACATTCCGGCAAAACATAGGCCACTCGGAGTTTCCCCACAATAGAAAAAGACATATGTGGCCATCTTGGGCATCATATACACATCTCAACTCAAGTTCAACATGTTCATACACATACACATGTCCAAATAGTACCCGCATTGGTGGCAATAATATTTCTTCTAGTTTAGGTAATTAGCTATATCAATTAACTATTAGTAGTTATTGTTTAGCCTTAAACAAATGTGGTTTCTTAGTAATGTGTTTCCTGGATCAATAGCAACATTTCTTCTTTTGTGTATCATTATATATTCAATGTATAAAATAATCTAGCCTAAAAAACCTAAATATAGTCGTAATAATTCTAAATATAGCAAAATAACCAAATAATCTTAAATATAATAGCATTAAATATAGGAAAAAATACTATAGAAAAAATTGCCCTAAATAAAACTAAATAAGAATTGGACTAAACAATGCCATGTCATCTAATAAGAATTGGACCCATTATCATCCAATATTGGTAAAAACATACTAAAGAAAAATCTTTGCTGCCCTAGAACATATAAACCTTAGAAATTAAAAGGAAATACATAGAGAGGCAGAGGAGGGAGGCTACCTATGGCGGAAGGGAGTGGGAACGGCGGAGGGGTATGAGGACCACGGCCAGTCAAGGTGGCCGGGTCGGGTTTGACCAGGTCGAGCTCTCTCAAATCCATGCCCGAATAGCTAATGGGTACATGAGCATACCCACGACCCTACCCATGGGCCTCAAGTCAGACCCATGCCCGAACCCGACAGGCAACCCGACCCATCAGGGCACCCATCGGGTTTTAAAAAATAAATAAATATATATATATATATATATATATATATATATATATATATTACTTTCAAAAACAGTATTAACCATGCGTCCTGCTAAAGTGGACGTTCTTTTTATAGCTCAATAGCTCCTGCGCACTAGTTAGTAGTCACATCCGGACGGTGCACTAGCTGCTAGCCTGCTACCTCTACTTGTATGTCTCTTGTCTCTTAGGGCATCTCCAGCCGCGCCCTCAATAGGGCCCCCCAGGCCACTTTTTCGGCGCCGGCGCCGAAAAAACGGCCCAGTCGCGCCCCAGGACGCCGAAAATCGCCGGTTCGAACCTTTTTTCCGCCCGGCGGTCGCAGGCCGAACCGGCGTGCTGGGGAGCAGTTGGGGGCTCCAGTGCTAGGGCAAAGCACGCCTGACCCACACCGACAGGGGAAAAGTCAAGGTTTTCTTCCCCCGACTCGCCTCGCACCCCCGCGCCCTCGGCCACCACTAGCTATATCCCGGCGACGGCCGCCGCCCTACTCCGCTAGATAGCCATTCCCCGCCGGAAAATAGCAGCGCTTCGCCGCGGCAGCCCCTCCCACAGCAGCTGGGCGTTTTCGGCCGCCGTTTCCGGCCGCAGAGGCGCGGTTTAATGGCGGGTACATGCCCACCGAGCGCAAGGTGTTCGGCGTTTTGCCTGCCTCGGCGATGGACTTGGATGAGGAGGAAGAGCTCGCCGCGCTGCTGGAGGAGGAAGCCGCGGCCGACGTCCAGGAAGAAGAGCATCTCATGGTGCTCGCCGCCCTCGCCCAGCTGCTGGCGAGCAATGAAAAGCCGCAGCGAGGTGGCTCGGCGCCGGGGCGGATGAAAGCAAAGAACCGGTATCGTCTCCAAGGCTACTGCATGCTCTACTCCGACTACTTCGCCGATGCTCCACTTCATGGCGAGAGAACATTTCGGCGCTGTTACCGGATGAGCCGAAAGCTCTTCCTCAGGATTGTGAATTCCATCCGGGAGTTCGACAACTACTTCAAGTGCAAGATGGATTGCACTGGCGCTCTTGGATTCACCTCCATCCAGAAGTGCACGACAGCGATGAGGATGCTTGCATATGGAGCTCCCAGTGATTCACTCGACGACTATGGGCGCATGGCCGAGTCCACCAGCATAGAGTGTTTCTACAAGTTCTGTCAGGCAGTGGTGGCAGTGTTTGGGCCACAATACTTGAGAACACCCAATGCGGAAGACACTGCTCGGATCCTAGCCCAGAATGCAGCAAGAGGATTTCCTGGGATGCTTGGAAGCATCGACTGCATGCATTGGAAATGGAAGAATTGCCCATTTGGTTGGCAGGGGATGTACAAAGGCGCCAAAGGCGGTTGCAGTGTGGTGCTTGAGGCGGTAGCCACACAGGACCTCTGGATTTGGCACTCCTTCTTTGGTATGCCAGGAACTCACAATAACATCAACGTGCTGCAGTGCTCTCCTGTTTTTGCCAAGCTCGTTGAGGGCCATTCTCCTCCGGTGAACTTCGAGGTCAATGGGCACCAATACAACCAGGGGTACTATCTAGCTGACGGCATCTATCCGAGATGGTCGACATTTGTGAAGACGATCTCAAACCCTGTGGCAGGAGGCAAGAACGCCTGGTTTGCGAAGCTTCAGGAGGCTTGTAGGAAGGATGTCGAGCGGGCATTTGGTGTGCTCCAATCTCAATTTGCTGTTGTTCGATACCCCACTCAGACCTGGTCCAAAGATCAAATGTGGGAGATTATGACTTGCTGTGTCATCTTGCACAACATGATCATCGAGAGCGAGCAAGAAGACCCAGTGTTTGACATTGAACCATACTACAGGCAGGGTCCTCTAGCCGAAGTTGATCACCAGCTACCGGCAACTTGGACTGCCTATCTCAGTATGCGTCAGGAGATCCGAGACCCATAGGTGCATCATCAACTGCAGAAAGATCTGATTGAGCACCTATGGAGGCTCAAGGGGGACGCCGTGTGATGAAATACGAGTTTTTATTTGTTGAACTATATAATTTGTATTGAACTATTTGTTGTTGTACTATTTTGTTGAACTATTTGATTTTTCTGTGATGAAATATGTAATAAGAAATAATTGTGTTGATAATTGAACGCCGAGACACGGCGAAACCACGCCGAATATGGGCCTATTCTCGCCCATATGGGCCCTTTATTCGCCGAAATTGGGCTGCAAAGTGGGCCAATTTCG